ACCAATTTACGATATTTCCTAGATTATAAAACTAATTAACCGGGGTTAATGTTTCACAATGAACATTAGTTCTCTTAAATGACTTGTCAAATGAGATATTATTATGATGGGAAATGTTCTGTAATATATGAATGGTGTTTATCGAATTACCTTGGCAAGTAATAATATGGCAATGAATTACTTTGTAGTGTGGCGTCGAGTCGTGGTTGACTATGATCACCACTACAGGAAAACTACATGCCAGTTAACCGATAAGATCCCCCCGTAGGCCAAACATCAGAAGACAGTTGATGCCTATAGTCGAGATGTATTCGTTGGTGATCTCATGGTATCGAAAGAATACCGAGATCATGCCAAAGGAGTACAAGTGGAACTACTGAGCGTAACCGAGAGTGTGCAATGTCACAGTCAACGGAAGAAAGAATGTTTTTAGTACAGTTAAACAAACAAGTACAGTAAAACAATCACTGGTACAATTGGTTATAATAATAAATATTTCCATTACATCAATCGCGTTCTCTTGATGAAAGTAGGTCTCCACAACTTAGTGATAAATACACTGATGATATTTTGTCTTTTTATCATTTTCAGAAGGTTATGAATGAAAGCTACGAATTTCGTATGTAATTATTGTTAAAGCGTTCTATTTCAAGGAGGTTACAATGGTATTATAACAATTGCAATACATATCTGGCAATTATCTTTATAAATCTGTTGTGTTATCAGAGATAGAATATGTCAATACGTATAAAGTGATAAACTGATATGATTTAGATGGTGGTTGGAGGTAGTCAACAGGAAACCCTGGACCCGGGTTTCGTGCTACTTGGCACTCGTCAGCAAGGTGTACCTGTAATCTTGAGGGAACTGGTGCTCCCTGGCGGATCCGATCTCGTGTCACCCAGCTTCACAGTCAGAGACGTTACCACTGAGCTATCCGAGCCGTGACTAACCTCCTGTAGGACTGAGATGTAATCACAATTGATTGATCACTGGGTGGTGATCAATGTCATGCTTGTCTAGTCCTTATTAGTGCAGATCGAATGCTATCGATCATGTTGCAATACATAGTGCCCGCAGTGTCGAGTCACCTAGACTGGTGGCCACATTGCAACATGATCGATAGCATTCGATCTGCACTAATAAGGACTAGACAAGCATGACATTGATCACCACCCAGTGATCAATCAATTGTGATAAACTGATTTCAGGAATACTTCAGTTTATCTACATTGTCTATGATAAAATGTTTATTTCATTTATATAATCTTATACTCTTTATGAATGATTTGTGATATTCAATATTTCTGTGGTGTATGCTACTTATATCGACAGTTATAAATAGTATGTAAAACCAGTTAGAAGTGGAAAACCTGGCAGCAGGAGTCTAAGAAAATCGAATTGAAGGGAATAGAAGAGAAAATAGGTAATAATTGTCGATTGAAAGAATCATAGAGAATTTGAAGGACAAATGATGGAAATTTGTTAATGAAATAAACAATTCATGGTATTTGAATATAGTCGGTCAGTCTCCCCAATGATCTGGATCATCATATACCTTTTATTAGCTCCTGTTTCTATAAGCCATGTAGATCAATATCACTAACAGTTTAATTATAGTAGCCGATAGCTAACTAATATTGACATATAGATCGAACATTCAGCTGTGAACTCTGATCACTTCTAAAAGATTCACCCGCTCATTAACAGCTAGATAGTGCGAATGGCAATTCATACGAGATGGTTAATGAATATTAGCCAACATGATCAATGAAAAAAACATTGATAGATTTATTAAAATCATCATAAATGAACATGGAATTAGAGTCGAAAGTCTTATGCAAAGTAGGCATGTTTTAATTTAGTTTCTAAACAACTATTTATGATTTCAAAATGAAGATTATCTAAAAGATTCTTAAGCTGAAGACATCAAGATATCAGCTAATCGATCAAATCTATTGATTATGCTCTATGATGTTTAGTTAGCAAATATACTCATAGGGAGAAATCTTATAACCTATGTAAGGAGGAAACATCCTTCTTAATGATGATGGATGGTGGCTAGCAGTGGAATCCAGTTTGACGCGTGTCTCGTACTATTTAGGACGCGTCAGCTGGATGTACCTGAACCTCAGAGTTGATGTCCACTTCGGGACTCGAACCCAGTACTGTTCTCTTCAAACGCCATCGCGTCATCCACTTAGTTACTGAGTCCTGATAGCCACTTGCTTGTGCAATTGGGTGAATTTAAATTCACTTGGTATTGTTTGACTTGTATCTTCCCATTGAGGTTTAAGACTGCAATCGATCAGTCATTTGTTGACATATGTGCATCCTATGTGGACTGCCTCGATATTGCCTTAAATCACAAGTATTATAAACAAAAATGAATAGTGTCTAGGAGTGAGATCCAGGATATACGTTTTGTCCTATTTGCGAATCGCGATGGCGTTTGAAGCGAACGGTACTGGGTTCGAGTCCAGTAGTGAACATCAACTCTGGGATGCGAGCACATCCAGCTGACGTGTCCCAAATAGGATGAAACACGTGTCCTATATTCCACTGCTAGACAATATCCATCTTTGTGGGAACAATTATTTACGGTTTCAGAAAAAAAGTAGATTTTCTTTATAATAATTTAATTACCGATTAAAACCGTATAAAGAACAATTTAAAAGTATTAAAAGAGATTTTTCTTCACTTATTTGAGTTTGCGGCCACTCAACAATGTCTACCAACCATCACACAAGAAACTGGACTCAGGAACTTGACACTGTTCTGTCTTTTATTTTCATTTATGCAATATTTCGTTCTTCTCTAAATAGTTGACGAACCCAATGATAGATATGAAAGTTTGAATGTCAATAGCCGGCTATGAATGATCGAGAAACCTTTTATTTATTCATGCCTTGATTTACCTATAATAGAGCAAGTGGGTGCCAGTCTTGATCTGATGAGCAATTTATCTATTTACAGTTAGCTGCTTTCACTTGTATTTCTCAATTACCAAGTACTTTTGCTTATGAATTTGATCTAACATGTCATGATATTACGGTGATTATAGTATCCGCTGGGTACATCAGTGACACTAGATAATGAAAGCTACGTATAACTAGTCGACTAAAACTGGGGCATAATAAATTTAGAGTATTGATTTGGAACCCATTGGTCAATATTGTCCATCGTTTGTCAACTTAGATTATCACGTGAGTATCATATCGTTCTGTAGGCTTGTATCTATTTGGTTCCTGGCATACGGTAGTATCGATTACTATGTTAGGCCCAAATAACTTATTCTAGCTTCTGGAGAAGTTACTTTTTGATCTTGTTAATTATTCACTTATTAACCGTGGCTGTTTCTATATGACCGTACATGTGTGTACACTTCTTATTCTATTCATTACATGTCTTATTTTTGTGTGACCATAAATATCGATTCACGCTTGATTAAATAGAGTTAGCTCACAAGCCATCTTCACTGCGCGTCATTTCGTTTCGTTCTCTTCTATTCGCTCCGTCCCTATGACTACCTTTTCAGAAGCTAGAATATGGTATATGAGCTTAACCTAGATGAGACCATAATTTATGGGCGACCATTGATTGACGCTAAAGTGACGCTGAGAGTATCCACCTAATATTTAGAACTAAATGGGGGTTTTAAATCAATGTGAGGAATCAGGATTATGATTTACAACTAATGGTTAAGGTTAAGAGTTAGATTTAGGGTTTTCATTACCAACTGATATAAGCTATAATGCCAAAACTGTATATATCCAAATGGATGAGTGAATTTCGCGCCAAAATCCGTGACCTATTATCTTACACATGATTGGTTCGTCCATAAATTATAGTCTCGCCGTATTCTACACTACAATACTATCATCATAGAATCTCATGGAAGCTGTAGTGACTGGTACAATGCCAAGTCTACATGGGTTATTCTAACTTCTTGATAGATCAATGTATTCATTCTTCTCAAGCCACAAAGTCATTTAAATAACGAGGCTTACAAAGAAAATGCGTAATTATTATACCATACTGAACAGTATTACTAGTTACTAATTACTGAGATCAACTCATAAGCAAAGAACTTCAATCTTTTCTCTCTTTTTGTTTATCAAACTAAATACATTTTATTTTAATAGTCGTAATCATAAATCATTTGAAGTTAGTCCACTATTGAAAATCTGGAAACACTGAATGGCCGTTTCGTAATCGTATGGGACACCTCAACAGTACACATCCATAATCCTGCCTTGTAGGATTCAAACCCAGGATCTATTAGTCTCGTGCACGAACTCTTAACTTTTAAACCATTGAACCAGTCGGCATCCAACGGTGTTGATATCTGTTATATCCCGATAAGAACAATGAATGGTAACTGTTTGGATCTATTTCTGGTCTCATACTATACGTGTATTTCTATCGTATAATTGTTGTGTAACTAAACCGTTCATACTCGTGTCCTTCTTATTATTTTAACCTACGAACTATTATTATACGATTTACCTTTGTTGAGTTATGGCCTGTCTATTAATTACTATCTCCCTTATTCACAGCCACATTTGACTAATTCCTGTACAAATGTTGTTTCATATTTTATGGTACCTTGTGGTTTGTCTGGTTGGTATATAAATCGAATATGTTTGAAATAATTGATTTATATTGCAGAGGCTGAGATTAGTGTTCTGAACTTAACTGGCTGGGTTTGACAGGAAACCAGACAATCAGGACTCTGGACTGCTCGCAAATGTTTTATGTGTCACTGGTTCGATCGATAATTCGCTGCTCTCTGATTGGCGGTATCGTTACGTTATACAATAAACAAGGCACACAGGTTCACAAGTTATAACAATGTCTTATTTCAACGAATCCACAAAATTGACCGACATATCTACCATTCTCATCAATGAATTACTATCTCACAATAGATACAGTTAAACTCGACTGATCACTGTTTCTCATCAAACCTTCATGAAATACTTCTTGAAGCCAGTCACTAATGAGCATATGTTTTATTTTATATAAAATTTACACAAACACACGTACACACACACACACACACGAAAACTCATCATGATGAATATGAATATGTTATACAATGCTATCGGAACTTTCAAATATATCTGTTGAATGACAAATATTCATATTATTACTATTATTAGTAGTATCCCCATACTTAGTTACTGGTTGACAACATGAATGAAATTGTTTAGAATATATGAAAGGATCATTATGATTATTATAATTTAAATAGAATATCGGATCAATATGATCATGATTATATAGAAATGATTTTGAATAATTTTTTGTTATTGGATATTTCTTTAATGATTTCATGAAATGATCATTAAATAATTGATTATTATTATTATTATGATCATTTTGTTCATTGATTATTGATTTCAAGAATACATTTGATTGATTTCTATTGATTGATTGATATAAATAAGTGAATTTCTTTTGATCATCATTCATTGAATCAATTAATGGATTATTGATTTTTGATAAAGTTATTGATTGTATTGTATATAATCTTGTTAAAAATAAATTCCATAATGTTCTAATTAAATCATTCATCATAATATCATTCATATTCATTGATAATAACCATAAAAGAAAGATACCATCAAGATTTAAATATTGATTTATAAATAATTTAAATTGATTGATTGATTTATTGATTGATTTATTGATTGATTTATTGATTGATTAATTGATTGATAAGAATATAAAAATTTTTTAATAAATTTAATACGTTTCTTAGATAGAGTTAAACGTGATAACCATTTGATTAAACTATAAAATGTTAATAAACCAATAAATAGATACCAAAACCATAAAAAAACATAAACTTTTTCTAAAAATAAATTTAATGGTAATACACATTGTAAAGTATATCTGTGAAAAAAAAAGAAAAAGAAAAGAAAGAAAAAGAAGAGAAAAGATAAAAAAGAAGAGAAAGAAAAAAATAGTGATATATATATATAGATAAATTAGAACGTATTATGGTTAAAGATTACGTCATTTATTGGACAATCGATAGATGATTTAATCGATCTTAGTATTGTAATAAATCAATAAATATTTAGTATCAGAAGGGGTTTTGTGGAGATTGTAGTAATTTCAATAGTTGAGATCATGGAGAGTCTGGAAGTACTGGATGGCGGTTTCGTCCTATTATGGGAATCCTTTGCAGTGCTCATCCATAACCCTGCCTCACGAGATACAAACCCAGAATCTATCAGTCTCGCGCCAGGCGCATAACCAACTAGACCACTGAGCTGACCGGGATCCAACGGTGTGAATGTGTAATTTCAACTAATCTACGAAATTGAGCGACAGATCCATCATTGTTATCAGTGAGTAACTACCTCACAACTGACCCGGTTGTACTCTACTAGTCACTGCTTCTCATCAGAACTCCAGAATATCTCTCTTGAAGTCAGTCACTAGTGAGCATATGTTGATTAGTATCAGAAGGAGTTTATATACCAGTCAAACACATTGAATTACATTATAAAATAAAAAATAACATTGATACAAGATCAATTTAAAATGTGATTGTGAATATGGAAGATTGTAATCAGTTAACTGAATATAACTTTAAAATAGTAAATCATATCATAATAATAATTTATAGGTCAAAATGAAGCTTATAATAAGAGGAATATAGATAGATATACATAATCTAGTTACTGAACGAATGTATGCATAATATTAGTCCACTAATAGATCTCAGACATTACCCGTAATCTAATCTTCTTTAGGATATAAGTTATATCATTGATTTACTTACGCCTGTTACTCACAATCGAGCATAGACCCCTGATCTGCATTCTCCAACAAACTCTGTCCTCTACCTTCCTTTCTAGTTTTATCCAATTCTTGTTCATTCTTCTCATGTCTGTCTGTCTCCATTTCCCGAAGTAATGTGTTCTTTGGTCTTCTTCTTCTCTCTTGACCTTGAGGATTACAAGTGAGGACTGGCCTTGTGACACAGCTGGGTACTTTCCTCAATGTGTGTCCTATCCACTTCCAACAATTCTTCCTGATTTCTTCCTCCACTGAAATCTGGTTTGTTCTCTCCCACTGTAGGTTATTCATGATGGTTGCTGATGGCCAACGGATCCGAAGTATTTTGTGAAGACAACTGTGAATAAACACTTGTATCTTCTGGATGATGACTTTTGTAGCTCTCCAGGTTCCTGCTTCATACAGTAGCACTGTCTTGATTTCTGTATTGAAAATTCTAGCTTCGGTTCTGGTTGATAATTATTTTGAGTTCCAGATGTTGTTCAGTTGTAAATATGCTGCTCTTGCTTTACCGATTCGCGCTTTCACATATGCATCAGACCCACCACCATGTTCATCAATGATGCTGCCCAAATATGTGAAGGTTTTTACATCTTCCAAATCTTCTCCGTCAATTGTAACTGGATTGGTGCATGTTGTGTTGTATCGGAGAATCTTACTTTTCCCTCTGTGTATGTTGAGACCTACTGCTGCTGAGACTGCTGCCACACTGGTCGTTTTCTCTCACATTTGTTTTTGCGTGTGCGATAGAAGAGCCAGATCATCTGCGAACTATAGGTCGTCTAGCTGTCCACTGTATTCCGTGCTTCCCTTCAGATGTTGACGCCTTCATGATCTAGTCGATACTATAAAACTCGATAACTGATTTTAATCTTACTATAATTAAGATATATATAGCTTATTGTCTTTAAAAAGAAATGTCCTTGAAAAGTTATGTCAAGTATTCTATGTAGTAACAGTATGATATTAAGAAGACCTTTGGGAATTGAAAATCATTTGAACGACTTCCATATACTAAATATTATAATTAGTAGATACGGAAATTATTTAATTTTAATAGTTGAATTCATGAGTCAATTGAACTTAGACTACCATGAAAAACCAGGAAGCACTGGTCAACCATTTCATCCTAGTTAGACATTCACACCTTTGGATGCTGACCAACTCAGTGGTCTAAAGGTTAAGGATCACCCTACCGTACATACAAGGAATATCAGAAACCGCAACGAGACTGCTGAAAACCTTCGGGATAGGTGTGGCACACAAACCAACAAAATCATTACAATCAATCCTATGCAAACCAAAAGATGAAATAACAAAGGAAAACAAATCAAACATCATCTACAAAATAAATTGTACCAACTGCGACAAACACTACATCGGACAAAGCGGACGCCCCCTCCACCTACGCCTACATGAACATCAATTAGCAGTCAAACGCCATGATATCTCTTCACTTATATCAATACACGTGGATAACTACGGACATTCATTCGATTGGGAAAATGTAGAAATCTTAGACAGAGGAAACTCCAAAAACACCAGAGAATTTTTAGAAGCTTGGCACTCAGGTCAATCAGCAATCAACAAACATATTGAAATCAATCCAATTTATCAACCAATCAGGAAAATCATGCATAAATATAGGAACAAAAATCAAACCAATGGGAGACACAACCAAAACAAAGAAGTAAACAATGATAAATTTAAGGTCAACAAGAACCAATCAACATCGAGGTGCACAGAACAAGCTGTGAAACACATATGGAGAAATTCGAACACTTCACTTCTATCTGAAGTTTGTGCTGATGATGTCGTTCAGAAGAACGGTGAAAGCTCCACGACCAAACCATCCAGCTCAGAGAACAAAACTCCACCAAAAAGTTAAGCGTTCACACATGAGACTGATATGTCGTGGGTCTGATTCTTATGAGGCTGAATCATGGACGCACACTGCTGAGGAGTCCTATACTAAGATGAAACAATAGTTCAGTGCTTCCAAGTTCTTCGTGTTGATCTAGTTTCAATTAACTCATCATTTCAATTAAAAGTTACTGTAGTATCCACAAAAACCCCTTCTTTGAGTATGTTTATAGTTTAAACATAATGATTAGTGAAATATTGTTGGAGTGATCCAGAAAGTGTCTTGCAAAAGACAAGCAAGGATCAGGAAACACTAAGAAGCGTCTCATTCAATCAGCGTTCACTTGGAGTTTTAGCCAAAAATATCAAGGAAGTGAAACATCACATGTAGATGTTTTGATTGGCTGGCTGCTACACTGCTACTATGTTTAGTAGTATTCCAGAATATTCGAGCAATTCAAGAACATTTAAATTATTATAAAAACTCTGTATTTTTTGTATTGAAACAAATCTTGGAGTAAAGTACTTCTCGCATACTTTGCGTTCTCTCTTTCTTGTTGTTCAGGTCGCTGTATAGTTCTAGTATGGGGGTTACAGAATAGCTTAAGTAACGAATATAGCGTTCAATTATTAATGATGAAATTAATATAAAAACAATTATTCACTCAAATATTCTTCTCCATTTTTTGTTGCTATTGCATATTCTATGTGTGAGGGGGGGGACAAAGAGAGAGAGAGCGAGAGCGAGAGAGAGGGGGGTAGGGGTTAGGAGTGAGAAATCCAAATAATTATTTTTAAAACAATTAAATTATTCATTCATACTTACTTATAATTTTTTCCTAATTTTTTCGCTTCAAAATCACAATAGGTTACACGTGGAAAATGTCCTGTTTCACTCCATATATTCCCATAGATTAAATCTTTTAATACATAAATACCAAAAAAATATGATTTGACACCAAGAAATATTTTCAGTAAATAGATTTGTCCAATTATATTTATTAAATATAATAATTTGATAGTAACATATAAATAAAATAAAAAACTATGACTACGTTGAATTCTTTTAATTTTTTGATTACCACCACCACCACCCCCCCCCCCCCCCACCACCACCACTAACACCATAACCACATAGCAACCAATGAAATAAACATGATGGTAATAAACATAATAATGTTAAGAAACAACGTAAAAATAACCCTAAATTATATATTAATTGATAACATGTATTTTTAATAGAAAATATTTTAGATTTCGATTGATAATTATGTAATAATGATTGTTTATTAGATTTCATTGATTGTTGTTGATTATAATATGATGACGATGATGATGATGATGATGATTTTTGTTGGAATGGATTCAATGCTGATTGAGTACTTTGTAATTCTGTGTGAAATAATGAAGAAAAAAGAAAAAGAAAGTAAAAGTTTATTATTATGATATATAATAAAATATTGATTAATATATTTGTATTATAAGCAATACAAACTCGTTCGAGGTAAAGACCGGTGTCAGGCAAGGTTACTTACTCTCATCCTTTTTCTTTCTCATGGTGATCGACTGGATCATGAAAACGTCAACATCTGAAGGGAAACGCAGGATACAGTGGACAGATAGGATGCAGTTGAAAGATCTAGACTTCACAGATGATCTGGCCATCCTATTGCACACGCAACAACAAATGCAGAAGAAGACGACCAGTGTAGCAGCAGTCTCAGCAGCAGTAGGTCTCAATATACACAAAGGGAAAGGCAAGATTCTCCGATACAACACAAAATGCACCAATCCAATCACAATTGACGGAGAAGATTTGGAAGATGTAATAACCTTTACATATTTGGGCAGCATCATTGATGTACATGGTGGTGGGTCCGATGCAGATGTGAAGGCGTGGATCGACGAGGCAAGAGCAGCATATTTACAACTGAGGAACATCTGGAACTCAAAGCAACTGTCAACCAACACCAAGGTCAGAATTTTCAATACAGAAATCAAGACAGTGCTACTGTATGAAGCAAGAACCTAGAGAAACACGAAAGCCATCATCCAGAAGATACAAGTGTTTATAAACAGTTGTCTTCACAGAATACTTCGGATCCATTGACCACACACTATCAGCAATAACCTACTGTAGGAAAGAACAGAACAGATTCAAGCGGAGGAAGAAATCAGGAAGAATTGTTGGAAGTGGATAGGACACACATTGAGGAAAGCACCCAACTGCGTTACGAGACAAGCCCTCACATGGAATCCTCAAGGCTAAAGGAGTAGAATAGGAAGGTCAAAGAACACATTACGCCGGGAAGTGGAGATAGACATGAGAAGAATGAACAAGAATTGGATGGAATTAGGAAAGATGACCCAGTAGAGAATGTGTTGGAGAATGCCAGTCGACGGCCTATGCTCCATTAGGAGTAACAGGCGTAAGTAAGTAATTAAACAATTATAAGCAATGATGGATAGTGGCTAGTAGTGGAATCCAAGAAACGCGTTCGAGTCCCAGAGTGAACATCAACATGTTTGAGATGCAGGTACATCAAGTTGATGAGTCCAAAATAGGACGAAACATGAGTCCTGGATTCCACTGCTAACCACTATCCGTCTTTGCTAATAAAGTTAATAAATTCAGGCAATATGAAGGCAGTCGTTTCGTTCTATTGTGGGACTCCTCAGCAGTGCTCATCCACGATCCCACTCGCGGGATCCGAATTTAGGGCCTTAAGTCTTGCACGCGAATGCTAAACCTCTAGGCCACTGAGTCAGCATCTAACGGTGTTAATGTCTAATCTCAAACAATCCACGAAATCGAGAGACACATCCGTGACTTTGTATTTACTGAAAACTATAAATACCTGAGAATTTCTCACTATGTTTGACACCGTTTTGGAATAGAATTCCTTTCACCTGTCTTCTATCTTCTTATTTGCAACTTGAAGGGTTCTGGCATTCGACTACACAAGTTGTACGTGGTGTATCAAGAATCTAACCTCTAGATACAACAAACTTGAAATATTATAAGTAGATCTACTAACTAAGTTGTGAATCGACAAGTAATTACTTAGCTGTTACAAGAAACTGATTATCAAAGTGTAGTTCTCAGAAGAATCTACATATTTGAAATGATGACGCACATATGTTCTTTTTTTAAGAGTATGTAAAGCATATTAGTGTATAATCTCATTAGTTTTCCTACTAGTGTTTGCCAAACTCTTATCTTATGATCCACCTCATTAAGTTATTGTTTCCTTTATTCTTTAAATAGTTTAATTTTTTAAATCCAGTTAACGCTTTTTGGCAAGATTTTCGTCTACGAGATAGAGTTGCTGACCTCATACACAACCGTCCTTCTTTACCCGGGTTTGACACCGGCAGTAACTCTAGAAGAGCTACCGGTTGAGTTTTATTTTCTTTATAACTTTAGATAAGTCATAGTATATATGTCTAAATTTTGATGGACTTTTGTTCTTTGAGCTGGATGGTTTAGTCAAGGAGCTTTCATCGTTCTTCTGAACGACAAACTTCAGGCAGAAGTCTACTTGAAGTTCCACGACTAAACCATCTAGCTCAAAGAATAAAACTCCATCAAAATCAACTACCTGACCTACAAATCTTCTCCACCATGTCTAAATTTCAATTAATTTAGATAATCTCGTTGAAAATTCTATTCTGGTCATAAATCATTAGAATCTTTTATGTGATTAGTTAAATTACAATCATCACTTATTCATTTGTTTAGTTTTCAATCATTGATTTAGCTTCAGGCTATTTTTAATAGACAAAAATAGATTGAGTTTATTCCATTTTGTAATTCTTATCATTCTATAGTGAATTTAAAAAAAATTATCATGGGGATTACATTCTTTGAAGCGCGCTGCTGATGAGTCGTATACTAGGACGAAAGGACCATCTGGTGCCTTCAGGTTTTCCATGTTGGTCTAGTTTCAATTGACTCATGATTTCAATTACTGAAATTACTAAAATCTCCACAAAACCCCATCTGATAATTTACATTATGTCTATTACATAAACAATTTAAAGCTTATCTCGGCAATGTTAAATGAAAAAGTTCAAACTCATTTGAGATTTGTACTTTAAATACAGAAGCCCATTGGCTCAGTTCATTAACCCAATAAAAATGCATGATAAACATCCATTATCCTGGATTGCTGAAGACATAGTTGAAACAGGTCATAAGATGATTGATCTCAACACGGTTTTTGTAGTGTTGTAGTGTTAAAGTGTTAAAGGGAGTATACTAAGGTTTATTGAAGCCATAGCCATACGAAAACTCAAACCTCATTTGTGTACTGAAAATAGTTTGCTGTCTCCTTAAGCCTATTCTGTAAATAATAGCTGATTATGCAGCATAATGAGGTTTCAAATTGTTTTTCATATCATTTTCTTGATTATCTTTGTCTCCTCATTGGCTCATGTTGATTTTTTTCCCCAGAGGTTCTGCATTGTATGTCTAGTTTTACCTCAAATGAGTTAAATAAAACTTCAGGCACCATGGTTTATTCCAATAGTACATTCAATACATTCGTTACATAAGCAAGTAGTGTTATATCCAGATGAGAATAATCCATGGTAACTATCGGAATCTATCTATGAACTAATCCTATATGTATATTTTTATCGTATAATTGTTAAATAACCAAATCATAATCATGTTCATCTTATTATAAGCTTCATTTTGACCCATAGACTATTATTATACGATTTATAATTCTTGTTATGCCCTGTCTATCAATTACAGTCCTCTACATTCACAGCCACTTTTGGGTATATCTTGTACAAATGTTGTTTCCTATTTTATAGTATGATATGGTCTGCTTGGTTTTGTATATAAACTCAGTATGTTTGAAATCCATGATTGATATCGTAGAGGCTGAGATTGGTGTTCTGGACTGACCAGGCAGGGCTAGGTAGGAAGAATGACCGATAAGTACTCTAGACTGGTCGTACGTGTTTTACGCGTCATTGGTCCGGTTGATAAATCACTGTTCTCTAATTGGCGGTATCATCACGTTTTATATTATAGGGCACAAGGCCAAAAGTTATAACACATATAAACCTTATCTGAATGATTATATTATTATCATTATTGTTCTAGCTTGTTGTATATAACGATCAGTGGTCACAATTTTTTAATTTCCATACACTACTGATGCAGTACAAGCATATCAATTCGATAATACAATGATGGACAGTATTTAATAAATATTCAAGTCATTTTGTCGTGAATAGTAGTAAGATAGTACTCCACTTCATCACCGACCCAATATTATTAAGGAAATAATTATGCAAATACATTACTCATAATTACAATGCTCAATACATAGCTTTAATTAATTATGTATTAGTATTTAAGTGCATTGGAGAATGCTAGTCGGCTGCTTATGCTCCATTAGGAGTAACAGGCTTAAGTGAGTAAGTTAAGTGGCCACATATTTGACTCCAATTGTATCGTATGAATGTTATGGAAGTACATATATCATCTATCCTCGTATATAATCATCGACTTAAATCTCATTGGTGAATAACGGAATTAAATAAGCCAAATACGAGAATGACATTTTGAATACGTACATTTTGTATATATATATTGATCTGGACAGACAATCAAAGGAAACGAAATGAAGAGAAGAGAGCTCCTTCTCTACTACGCGTCATTTCACTTCACACTCTTGTTTTCACTTTTCATCTCTTTGTCTCTTTGATTATCTGTTCAGATCAATGAGTGTACAAAATATACCTATTCAATACTTCATTCTCATACTTGGCTTATTTAATTCCGTTATTCAACAATGCAATTTAAGTCGATGTCGGGCATTAAAGTAGATTTGTAGGATAACTTTTTCATATTTCTCTATAGGTCAATTGTTAGAACAATACAGATAAGTAAACACTGTTATTTTCAATCAGGTCTTCATAAAGTGACTTTATTTTTATATACTAATAATATTTATATGCATATATGAAGATTTTATACTAATCAACGTGGCTCAATTTCGTGGATTGGTTAAAGTTAGACATTAACACTGTTGGATGCCAGCTTAGTAGTCTAATGGTTAAGTACTAGTGCGCGAGGCTGATTAGTCCTAGGTTCGAATCTCACGGGGCGGGATCATGGATGCACAATGCTGAAAAAGTTCCATACTAGGAAGAAATGGCCCTCTAATGCTTCCAGATTTTCCATGGTGGTCTAGCTTTAATTAACTCATGAATTCAACTATGAAAAATACTAAATCTCCACAAAACCCCTTCTGATAATAATCATGGTAATCACAACCAGAAAAGATTATCAGTATAAACATTATGTAAAAGATTGAATTTCGTTGATATTGTGAATCTTCACTTTGGTTACGCCATTGATATCCATGGTA